TAATTTGAATTATTCTATTGATAAAAAATATTATACTTATTATTACGTTTTTATTACATACAACTTTTTCTTACTTCTATAATTTTATTAAGTTTGTGGCGATTAGGAATTACCACTATATTTTTAATTTTAATTTTATAATTACAAAAACTACTAAAATAAAATTTAAATAATGAATATCAAAATGATTGATATTGGAAAATTATTGGTATATTGTATTAGTTATAATAATAAATTAAATAAATAGAGAAAAAAATTACCTTTACATTTTGTTCTTAATGTAAGTTACTATATGTTTAGTTTTGATATTTGCATCATACATTTTTGGAACCTCAAATGTAAAAATATTAATTATATGTTATTTAAGGTGCAAGTTATTTGCCAATTAAACAAATAATCACTAGTGAAAAAAGGGGCTTTTACATCACTCGATTATCGTTGCATGCAAAAATATTCGACTTAAATAAAACGCGATGACAATTATGTAGATAAGAGACGAAACTTTTACTCGCGCATCTTAGGAGATGACGTAAAAAGCCTTTTTTACATCGCACCTGGGTGGCGTGACGTAAAAGAGGGCTTTTTACGTCACGCCACCTAGGTGCGATGTAAAAGAGGCTTTTTACGTCACCTCCTAGGAAGCGCGACGTAAAAAGTGCATTTTATTCTCTTCCAAACTCGCTCCCTCGTCTCGCGTAGCAATGGCTTTTGAGAATAACGACGACAACTATCTTTTCACACCATTTTTGATCATTTTGACAGTGAAAAACATCAACATTGTGTCTCATTTTACGAATTTGGCATTTCTCCCCGATTGGATTCGAGTTTGAAATCGTTTTCGTGTATACTCGAGGTTAGTGTTCTATGTCTTCTGATATATGTTTAAATTGAATCCATGATTGTTTTTTGAGATCTCAATCACGTTATTGTATGAATGTCTCCACTGGATTGTTATTGGAATGTCATTATCTGTTTATTTACTTGAGTGTATTTTCGTTTTACACACTCCATTTACGTGTTTTGTTGTTTGTATATTAATTTTTTTTTAATTATAAATTTTGAATCTTTAGGAGTAATGAAACTTTATAACATAATATGAATCGAAGTTGAATGAATATATGTCGTATTAGTGAAAAGTATGAAAAGGGAGTTGAGGAATTTTTAAAATTTGCTAGTGAAAATGGAAAAGTTATGAAAGGAACATATTATTGTCCATGTGTTCGTTGTTTGCATCAAAGTTGTCATAAACTTTTATCCATGATCACTTGTTTGTTTATGGTATTATTAAGAGTTATACAATATGGATATGACATGGAGAAATATTAGACATCTCAACTATGTCAACTACAGACAATTTTGACGAAGGGATGGAGGATAATCTAGAGGATATGATACGTGATATTGGTGAAGAAAATTTTATGAAAGCACATCTATATGATTCTTTGAAATCTGATTTTGCGCAATAATTGTACATAGGATGTAGTTTTACAAGAATATCAGCAACTTTAATATGAAGAAAGTTAATCCTTCCAAAAATATGGAAATACAAAGGTTGGAATCCAACAATATATGCAAACATGGATGAGTGACTCTAAAAGACATATATATTTGGCTCCATACATTGAAGGGTTAGTATTTTAATTTATATTTTTATAACTAATTTTTATGTCATATAATATAGGTCTCATTGGCAGTTAATTGTAATCATACACCAGGATTACACTCGTGGTGTGATTTTGTTCATTACATCTGAAACCGAATCAAGAAATGAAAAACTTGTTACAAGGGTAACTTTATCTTTTATTCATTAATTATTTTTTAAATTGTAAATACATATTAAATAATATATGACTTTTTTCACTTAGAATCGTATCCGGAACTAATGTTCTAAGTGGAAAACCTAAAACAAATACTTTGCAATTCATTTATACTAAGGTTAAAAACTTATTTATATAAGTGAATACCATAATTATTGTTTATATTTAAATTTTGAAAATAACATTATGTTTTATTCATCATTTCAAGTGTAATAAGCAAACAAACTCATTTGAATGTGATTACCATGTTATGTATTGGATGAGAGTCATAGTTTGTGCGGGTATAACTAATTCTTAGACGGAGGTAATTTACTTTCAACATTAGTGAAGTTTATTTAACTTTATGCATGTTTACAAGAATCAAATTAATATTTCGGGTATTTCAATATTCATCTCCATTGCCGTAATATGATATTACACAAATTAGAGAACAATGGACAAGATTTTTCGTTCAACAATTCTAGTACTTAATTTTTTAGGTTATTGTTTATATTATATTGTGTGTATTATATAGTTTAGATAACTTAGTTTGTACTAACTTTTAGTTTGTAATAGATTTTAGTTTGTAGGTTATTGTTTGTATTATATTGTTTTATTATGTAGTTTGAATTATATATAATATTATATTTTTTATTTACTAGTTAAAGAAACTTGAACCTCCGGATCTGTCTGGTTATAATATATATTGCAGGTTTTGGTTGTAAGACAAAATAAACCCAATTTTTTTTTTAAAATGAGCAAATTTACGTCCCATATACAAATATGCGACGTAAATTTACGTCGTATTTTTTTTAATTTTTGAAACTTTTTACGTCAGGTCTCGATAACTGACGTGAATTTACGTCGGGTTAAAGGGTGCGACATAAATTTACGTCGCCCGCTTTAACGTCAATCTTAAATACAACGTAAAAAGCCTAAAATACCTAAAACCCCTTTTTGCACCGATGATTAATAATTTTTACGAAAAATAATAATAACAATAACTAATATGTAAAGCAAAAGCAAAAGAAAACTAAAACTATGCAGCAAATATTGTGTGTTCTTCTTATGCATTGCCTTCATAATATAAGATGATACCCATGATTGTCTAATGATAGACTATCGCATTACATGATGAACATTTCAGGTAAGAGTTCAGGGACTGAGCCTCATGCATTCTTTCTAATTCATGGCTCCAACAGAAACATCAGCGAAAGTGTTATTGCCATCAACAAACTTGTTCTTCTTCGTAAGAGAATGTTTGTTTGCAAAAGTGGATTTCAACCAACTTTGAGCTTCAAAGAACCGGTCTCCTTGGAGAACTAAATGGAGAAGGTAGATGAAAACTCATGCAAAATTAAGTATTAGAAAATAGAAGAACAGAAATTATAAATTAAAAGATGACCGAAATTGTAATTTAACATTCTCGTTTATAATTTTATAACAAGTATATATGAGAGTTGTTGAGAAATAATTTATTTAATGATCTAGAGATTAATTATATTAATTTAATAGTTATGCTTTTATTTTTCTGTTCTCAATATTCTAGGAAACAAAGTATGTTTTTTCTCCTATTTATTCTTTTGAAGTATGTGTTGTAATTATTTTTATTACATTTATGGACAGATGAAAACTAAGGAAGTGAAAATTAATAAACAATCAAAATGTCTGAATTTATGAATAACTCTGTCCCTGGAATCTAAAATTTCAAATACCATGGAAGTTGAAATTGGGATATATGAAAAGGCTGGAGGACAAAAATGAAAAAAAAAAAAAAAAGAAGAAGAAGAAAAAGCATAGTCCAAATTTTTATTTTAAGTCTACCTGTATCAGTTAAAAATATAATTTGAGAAAATTTGGTATAATTTGTTTATAAATTAGTTTTTATATAAATTGATTTTAGTTTGTAAATATATTTAAAAAATACTTATAGAAAAAAATGTTTTTTCAAGATCAGTTTAAATAAACAAAATTCTTAACATTTAGGAAAAAATAAAAAATAAAATTATTTTTTTATTAGTTATAATTAATATTTGTATATAAATTAATTTATACAAACTCTTCAATATAATTTATCTAGTTTTTTTTTAACTTTTACCAAACTAGATTTAATTTATGAATAATATATATATATATATATATATATATATATATATATATATATATATATATATTATCCTTAGTATATATGACATACTTTATTAAACTACATGCTACACAATACCTCAGACAAGAATCAACCAAATTATTTTGAAATATAACTGGTTATACATAGAGCTATGGACAAATACTAACAATATATAAATTCTCAAACACGCTCTTTTAGTATAAATTTTATTATTAACAAAAGGTTGATGAAATGAAAAGATTTTGTGAATTCCATCTGATAAAAGAGTATATTTTGAAAGAGTGTTGCCAACGAGAGTCCAATAGAGCACTAAAACCCCTCGTTTTTGCTCTGAGTCTCGCTGCAAATGACATTTCTAATTCTCCATGTTGTTCAAGATATGTACTTACTCTAATTCTTTACTGGTTAGATTTAACTAAAATATTTGAGGGAAATTGTCCACATCTTGGCCTAATGACAGGCAGTTGGAAAAAACTTTGTGATGATAGTGACCATATTATATATGGGCTGAGCAATATAAGTTCAATCATCAATCTCCATTTGCGGCTTCTTCCAGAATATTTGCTCTGGATAGCTCTTACTAACTGATGAGTAAATCCATTAATTAATGACTCTGAATGCAGTGAATCATCTCCAATCTCCAATCCTTGATATATATTAAAACATATTGCCACCTTAGTTATCTCATTTGCAAATTCTAACGCAAGTGAGAGACTCAAATTGGAAAGTGAATGGCAAAGTACTAATTGCATAAGCTGGAAACAAGAGGGATTGAAAAGAGAGTAGCTGATAATTGAGTACTCCGATAGAGGTCAACAAAGGAACAAACTTTGAAATCAAATTGAAATTGAGAAAAACTGTAGCAAAAGAAAGATTCAGAAGGTAATAAATTGACATTGAAGGCATAAATGGAAGGCATCTATCGTCTATGTATATTCATTATTATTCAATCCTCAAAAGCAGTACAGAATACAGATAGTGTGGTCAAGCACAGGGGTACCACCAATACATATTACAAAAGTCTTAAAATATATTTTTGATGATAACAAGGAACATAGAATGGTGCGGTAAGAGACTCACTCGGGGAACGTGAGAGCAGTGACGAGAGGCTCCAATTGGGGGAAGCGAGCGAGGAGGTAAGAAGGTTTAGCGAGCTCGAAGTCCTGGTACTGAAACGCAGGTGCACACGTGCATCCGACAAGAGTGTAGTTCCTCTCACTATCTCTGGGAGCAGCAGCATCAGCAGCAGATTGGAAGACCCCATCGGTGGAGAAGGTATAATCGTTGGTGGGAAAAGAGCCAAACCAGACGTTGGGAGGGACGGTGTACTGCGGCACCTGATTCCCAGTGAGATCGGATCCAAGGCAAGTGAACTTCACACTCCCATCTTTCTCACTCAATTCCACAACCTGGGGAAGGGAAAGGGAAGCAATTGAATTGATACTAGGTTAAAAGAGAGAGAGAGAGAGAGAGAGAGAGAGAGAGAGAGAAAGAGAGAGAGAGAGAGAGATAGACATACGGTGAGAGGGTCGCCGATGTAATGATGCCAGGTTTCGGCACAGGGAATGCGATGGAGGCGGGAAACGCTTCCAGAGGGAACAAGGAAATAGATGGAGGTGGAGACAGGGCGATCGACTTTGTATTCGAGGGGGAGCTGTGAAGTGGAAAGATGGATGGAATGGTCTCGGAATGTTTCGACGTAGAAGCCACCTTCTGGGTGAGGTTCCAGATTCAGCTTCTTGGCTATCTCTGATGCCGTCAAACTCATTTTCCTTCCTCTTCCTCTGAAGATCCAATCTAATCAAATCAATGCCCTTCTCAAATCTCTATATTTCAAGCACCTCTGCACAAACAAGATTAGAATTTTCTAAACTTTGCTTCCGCGTGCTTGGTAGTTGAGAAGAATGGAGAGGCAAAGCCAACATTAGTATCCACCCACCCATTAAAATATAATTGACGAGTCTCTTCTATTATCAATTTAAAATTAATGAAAATATGAGTACGTGTCATTCCTCTATAGTTTGTTCTTTTCTTTCCTTTTTTCTAAATTCATCTTAGGTATCACTTTTTATATTTTTATTGATTTAACTTTTGTTTCAAACGATTCATTTTTAGTTTTGATTTATTAAAATATGAATGTTTATTTTATTAAAACTATTTAAATAAAATAGTAAATTCTACAACTGGCACTCTAGAAAATATCGTGCATCCAGGAAAACAAAAAAAAAACACATTTCCTATTTGTTTACTTAAAAAGTTTAGAATGCTTCTGTAATTTTTTTGGAAAAAACTAACATATAATAAGATGGTTATTTCTTGATATAAAATAGCCAACTTTATGTTATGTTCAGAAAATAACCGTTACAGACGCGTATTTTCAAAGATCAAAGAATCTTAAGTTACCACTTAAAAGCTTATATTAATTCATAAATTAAACTAGCTACTGATCATCTCATTACATTTTTCATTTTTTTTAATAAAACATGTAATATTCAGGAAAAATCGAAAACCTTGCAAATTTCACTTTATTTATTGCAAAAAAATTATATTTAAAAAAAAAAATATATATATATATATATATATATATATATATATATATATATATACCAGGAATAAATAATATAAAATCACTCTTGCTTATAAATGAAAAATAAAAGCAAAAGCTAGCACACCATTAAATGGTAACAAAAGTTTCCCTTTACGTGATCGTCCCCAAGATTACTCACCACATTGAAAATATGAGGGATAACTTTCTTTTGCATTTTCATGAAAATGATTTTGAATAACATTAATCAAACCCAATAATTTGCTAATCATCACTAAACTTTTATCACCATTGAAAATAGCTATTAAAGACTCGTACAGTAAAACAAAAAGCTTATAAAATTAAATAATTTTTTTATAAAGTATTAAACAATGAAGTTTCGGATATGATAAATTTTACACAAGTTTATCCAGGGGATTTATTTTTCTAAGAAACGCATATCGCGTCAAAACTTACCAAATATGAAAATCTTCTGTTCAGAATACGGCTAAGCATTCTCACAAAAATGTATACCTTACCAAGCACAACTTAATCATCTCAAGAATCAGAATTCATTATTCTCGAACACGTCCTAAATAATATTCACATGAATTAGCAAAGTGCTTTGGGTGAGAAAAGCAGATTCTTTATAAAATGAACGAAATGATGATGGGATTATTTACAAGCCTAAAATTTCAGTGCAGTCACGACCCTCGAGTGAAGTCGCCAAGAGCAATATAAATTTGAAGTGCATGAGAGATAACTTAAAAAAAAAAAAAAAGCGGCAAGAGAAGTGTAAATATAGCATCTCCTTCCAGTGAGAGTCAATGTCTCAAAGAAACAAGCTTGAAACATGCAACATATAAACCAAGGCACAAGTGCCTGCCACCGGCACATCTTCCCGCCATGACTCATCTCTGGAAAACTTTCCCAACAAATCCTTGAAAGGAGTTCCCCAGCCCGACGCTGACAGCTTCTGCCAAAGATTGTGCCTGAAAATTATGATGACTGAGAAATCTGGAATTCGCCAAGCATGATATTTCGAAATAACTGTAATTTGGAAAACTTGAGGAACCAATCAGTGTAACAACATAAGGGTTACCTCTTGAATGGTTTTCTTTATATCAAAGGCATCTTTCACTCGAGCATCCAAGAAAGCCCATGTATCGCGGAAATCTACCAGAAAACGAACCTCACAGGTCACAGCTTTACCACATCCAGCCATAAGCAGCAGGGTCTCGACCCAAAATGGCATTTATTCAATATACAGGAACTACCCAATAAAAAATATCCATGGGATGGGCATAAAATTCCTTTTATTATCTAAAAGTTACGTCATCAAATTAATCGTCATAAACATTGTCATGGAAGCAAACAGAGCAGTCTTGATTCAAGAAAATTAAGAGTCGCTACAATCATAGAACCAGAAGTTGACTCACGAATGAATGATTATATAAAATAACTAGTGCGCTTGGAAAATTATATACAAAAATGCTTGTGTTGTTAAAAGGGAAGGAAAGAAAAACAAACCAGGAGAGCTATCTGTCAGCATATAAATCTCAGTTGTCGAGTATATTCCTCCAAGGATAGTGCGTTTGGCATACCAATCAATGTCAGAGGCCTTATCACCGGTAGCATGCCAGATCTCATCCACAAGCACTGCCCTCTGCTTAAAACTTGTAGGGACATTTGCAGGTTGTGCCTGTAAAGGAAATATTTCCCAGAAACTCTATCAGGTCTACATTTCGGGTATGTAAGCCTCTGACTAGGAAAAAGGACATACGCAGAGACCTGGATGCTAAGAGCTTGAGGCCATGTTGATACATATGGTGCTTGCATTTCTAAACGAAATCTGATCAGCTTCGAGATGCAGTCACTTGGTGTCAAATTTTTTAAACTCTCATCTGAGTCAATTTTATCCACAAGTCTTTGTAAGCAGTCATCCATGAAATACTGAAAAATATATTATAGCAGCAAACAAAATGGTCAGTTCATATAAACTAATAATGGCAACCCATTAAACTTATTATAGTTAATTAAACTGAGTATAATAAACATGTCGACTATCTGAATAAAGCAAACCAAAAATAATACAAAAGTTGAAGAAAATCCATCCATTGGAAACTCATAACTGTTGCTCCCCAATGATCACGTCTTAAAATGATAGGATGCCAGTGAGAATATGTGCACACACAAGCACACAATTCTAACTTAGTACTCGGAGTCACTTATTTCAAACCAAAAACGCAGAAAAACTATAGCAGTTTTCTTCCATTATTACATCCTTGATAATCACGGCGCATACAACTATTATTAAACAGATTATGAAGCATTCCCTATGCTTTTGGACACGTTATACCTCAAAAAGCCAATAAAGTAGAGTTACTTGGAGATTAGCAATGAATTTTGAGTTTATTAACTTTTTTCTGAAAGTTTCCGTGTATCCAAGTTAAAGCATTGGAGACCCTCACTTAAGGGAGAGGAGACAGCGAACTCAACAGTAAAACAAGTGAAGACTCATGAGCCCTCTAAATTTTTCTGCTTTTTAAATTGTTCGTGTCATTTCCTAGGTGAGGAACACTTTTCTCCTATTGCGTTAGAGAGGATGGTTAGCAGCATAACGGCAACTCAAAATGTGATTGGAATGGAGAAAAAAATTGTTAACAATTCCATTATACTAATATGGAACATTGTGAAGCAACAGACAGACAGTACCATCCTGCATGCGACCTTACAAACCATAACAAGAGCAAGAGCGCTCTAGTCATCTTTTAAAATCTAGATCTTAAGCAAACTCAGACAAACCCTATCATCGTCACACGAAATTACTGTTCAAAATAGTTGGAAAAATCAAACACTAATAATCACTTACAAGAGAAAAGCAATGACAAATATCACACATAAAAGGAAATTGAAAAGATTGAGATGGGATAAAAATAAAATAGCGGAGGAAACACACCTCGACCAGTGCTGCTTCCTTCCTGGACAAAGATCCAACGATAGAAGGAGAAAGGCCAACATCCCTCGCTCCGGCAATTAGCGCTGCTTCTGTCCACCCCAACTTCATCTGAAAAACCACAATTACTTATTGATACAATCCAAACAAACCGTAGTATTTATATAGGCGATAAGAAACAAACACTTGGATAGTAATTTCGAAAAATTGAATTATTCAAATAGAGTTGAAAGACGACGGAATCGAAAAGAAGAGGAAGAGGAAAAGTGAACGAACGACGTAAGGGAGCGAGGCCTGAAGCACGCGAGCTTGTTGGTCCTCGTAGTTGGATTTGGGGTTTGCGGTATCGTCATCCGTTGACGAAGAGGAAGAAGCTGAATCTGAAGGGTTAGGGGTTTCGGTGGTGGTGACGACGGGAACGCTACGGTTGATAGAGTGTGGATCCGGAAATGGTTGATTCGGTGATGTGAAAAAGCGCGAAGAGAGTTTCAACTTCTGAGGAGGCTGGTATCGGAGGGCAACGTTGGCATTGTAATACCACCTTGCACCGCCCAACAACCGCTTCGCCGTCGTTCGATACATTTGGCTCCTACCAATGGGTTTGGAAAACGCACCATGATGGTTTTTCCTTATTTGAAGGCGGAGGAAATATTTCGAAGTTACACGTAGCAAAGAAATGTCTGTGCCACGTGTCGGACTATATGCCAAGAATAGTAATCGTATGCTGAACTTGTAGGTAAATAGTTAAATTGGGGAGAATGGGAGAAAGATTGAGAAATAAAAGATCGTTTGGAGGGAGAGAAATAAAGTAAAAATTGAAGAAAAAATAGAATATAAGATGAATGTGATTAATTAAAAGATTATTTTATTAATTTTAAATAATTAATTAAAAAATTTATAAATCTTTTAAAAAAATTTAGATACAATGAATTTAGCGTACACTTTCTTTATATATAAATAAGGAGAGAAAAAAGTTTACAATTTTGTAAAATCTCGTTTTCTTTTTTAAATTTGGTCGGATATTCACTCTTCTCTTCTTCCATTTTTTTTTTATTCTAAATCTTCAACTTTAAATTTTGTGTAAAATGTAAAAAAAGTTTAAGTTTCTTTAAAAGATATGAAAGAAAATGTTTTTATAAACTTAAAAAAATAGCTTATGTACAACTAAAAATAACAATGTACATGAATTAATTTAAATTTATGAAAAGTTATATATATTTCTTTTTTTTTTTGGCCTAAAATAATCATATTATATTTATCTTTTCTCCTAGATTTGATTCTACTTCAATATAAAATGATGGGGAGATGAAAGTGTTAACCACAAGATGCTACTAAGGTTGATGAAATGGGTTAATGTTTGGTGTATTATGTGATAGAAAAGTAGTGTAAATTTAATTACGCAAACCATAGTCAATATATAAGACATGTAGTGTTGCATGAGTTTCTGGCAGCAGACAGGCAAAACAAGTCTAAGTTAAACGTCGGAAAAGATGAAAAAACTTTACAATATAAAATTATTATGCGTATCTATTTTATGTATTTGAAATATGAAAGTTATTTTATAAATAAATTATTATAATAATAATATATATGACTTTATATCATCATATAAAAAATAATTTAATTAATAATTTATTTTTTCATATAGAACCACTTGATAATCTTCTTCTTGTTAATATTATTATAGAAAAATTTGTCAAGTGATTGTATATAAAAAGAATTATTTGTCAAAGTATATTTTTCTTAAAATGAATAAGAAGACAAACTTCGGATCATTCGTTTAAATACTTATAATTATATGTTCATTGTTACTTTATTGATGACTTATTTAATTAACGGTTTTGATTTTATTCTTTGTTACAAGTTCCACATATAAAGATTATAATTTTTAGTTAAGCCAAAAACTTTTAATTTCTTGCTTACAAGGTTATCTAATTCACTTATAAAAAGATTATTATGTATATTGTAATATGAATTCAATCTTTATTACATGCAATATAAAAAATTAATAAGAACTATGTCTCTGACCTCTCAATCATTTCTTCATAGGGTCAAAGAAAGTAAAACAAACAAACAAAAACAAGGGAAAACTTATAAAGGTCTTCGTGAGAGCAACTTGTATTAGCTAACTTTAAAAAGGAAAGGAAAAAAAAATCTACAAATAAAAGGAAAGGGGACGGGAAGAAGAAATCAAAAGCAACGGTCCCTTGGATTTGATAGGAATGAGAGGAAAAGTGGTAAATCCCAGGGTACAAACTTGTCACAGTATTGGGGAATGCTATCTCAAAAATGGTTTCATTTTATAAGAATTGCACATAATTTACAAGGGCTTATCAGCAGAAAAGAGGAGGCACAACTGTGAATTTAGCTTGGACTGGAACATTTTTCTCTCTTGAGAAGGACCAAAATGCGCAAAACTCCAAGCTTCAGAATGTCTTAATTTATGCTCTTTTTCATAATATTTGGACTGAGAATGTATGACATGATAAAGTTCCTTTAAAACATGTCACCCTGTGCATGCATGCCTCCGATTTTCCTTCCCCCTTCTGCCTTTGTTTCTCCCTCTGATCATTCATTCTCTTTTGCCCCACGGGTGTGTGTTTCGCTATTCACAAAGTCATTAGTTGTTATATATATGAAGATGCTGAAGAGCAATCTTTCCTAGGCCTGAACTGAAATTCTCACCTACAAAAGCAACTTTGTTCTAAGCTAGCATATTGACAGAAACAACCATTAAACCTGAACCTCCTCTATCCTCCTAATGGCTTCCTTCATGTTAAGTCGTTGGTCGGGGTTGCTCTCCGTGCAAGCAGCCCCTATTTGGAGAAGTTGTAGCATTTGATTGAGGGAATTAGGGCGACTGCTCTTCAACTCTGGATCAATCAGTTCTGCCTCTCTTCTCTCAGAGATTGCAGTGAACACCCAGTGCACTACGTCAGTCCCACCCTTGCCATTACTGTGATATTGAGAAGGGAATTTGCCGGTGATGATCTCGAGAACGATGATTCCGAGGCAATAAACGTCGGTTTTCTGTGTAACACGCTGGTATGATACGTAATCCGGAGTTTTGTAGGCAAACAATGTCTGTACGGCGTAGTTGGGGTTGATGAGCGGATGAAAGGCATAGTCGCCTAGGAGAGGCTCGTAATTATTAGTTAGCAGAACATTGCAGGATTTCAGGTTCCCATGCGGCAGGTCTTCGTTCGAAAATTCTTTATATAGAAACCCTAACCCTCGTGCTATTCCCTTTACAATATTCAAACGGATTGGCCAAGTCAGGTCCGAATGACTCGATCCTCTGTCACCTGAAAAACATTTTACCTCATTCCCTTAACTATGCATGTTACTAATCACCTTGCATGCACATGATATGATTTAAAAAACAAAAAAACAAGAGAGTAATGTTCTCAGGTCAGTGTTAAAATTTTACTCATGATGCCAAGACATTTTTGAAAAATAATAGCGAGAAACGAAGGTGGTACCGTGCAAGACGTATAACAAGCTTCCTTTGGGCATGTATTCCGTAATGAAGAGCTTTTCCTCCTTGCGGTAATGGTAAGCGAGAGGAGTCAGAATGTTAGGGTTTTTGAGTCTCCCAAAGCGTCTCATCTCGGCGTCGAAGATGTCTCTGCTCACTTTATTCATCTCGCGCATCCGCTTTACCACCACAGACAAGCCACTAGCCATGGCGGCTTTGTACGCCGAACCCATCCCACCGTTCCCGAGAACCTCCGCCGCAGCCTTCATCAAATCGGGCAAGCCAAACGCGCCCTTGACGTCGTTCACCATCACGAGGTCACCCATACTCCGGGATGACCCTTTCTTCGGCGCCCCCGACGACTCCTTCTTGCTCCCCTCGGATCCCCTGCTGTGGTTGCTGCTCGGTACGTGTACCTGCACCACCTGCTCTGCATTATCCCTGCTCATCACACTGAAGTCATCTTCGCGTTCACGCTTGGACTTGACCATGACAAAAGCCCCGGCGAGAACAGCGGCAATGAAGATGAGCATAACCACCTTCAACCCCCAACCGGAGCCAGCATCAGCAGCCCCAGCACCAGCACCAGCACCAGAACCAGCACCAGCACCAGCACCAGCAGCTACACCAGTGCTGGGATGGGACCCACACTCTTTATCCAGAGGCTTCCCGCAGAGTTGTTCATTGTTGGAAAAGGATTTGGCATCGAAGCGCGCCATGGAGGAGGGAATTAGGCCTTCGAGCTTGTTGTTGGACATGTCGAGGGACTTGATGTCCTGTTTGAGTTCGGGGACGGGGCCGGAGAACTGGTTGTTCTCGACGTGGAGCTCGGAGAGGTAACGGAGGGTGCCTAAGGAGTCGGGGATGGGACCGGAGAATTGGTTGTTGGAGAGCCATACTTTCTTCAAGGAGGCTAAATGGGAGAAGTAATCGGAGGGGATGGGCCCAGAGAACTTGTTGTTGGTCAAGTAGAGGGCCTTGAGGACTCCGAGTTTATTGAAGTGAGGGATGGGGCCGGTGAAGGAGTTGTTGATGAGGCTAATGGAGCGGAGAGAGGGGATCTGGGAGAGGGCTTCGATGTCAATAGAGCCGGAAAGCGAGAGGTCAGTGAGGTGGAGGCTGCTGATGACGTTGTTGACGCAGATGATGCCGACCCAGCGGGCGGTGCAGGGGTTCTGGTCAGGGACCCAGGAAGAGAGGGTTTGGGGGTTAGAGAAGGATTGTTTGAGGGTGAGAAGGGCTTGGTTTTCAGGGAGGGTAAGGGGGAGGGAGAGAGGGAGGAGGGAGAGGAGGAGGAGGAGTAAGAAGAAGAAGGGGCGAACAGCGGCCATCGTCGTGCCGGAAATCTTATGCGTCCGGGAGAGAAATGGACCGCTGCTCGGAGAGATTGAGGTTCTCTGATTGTTTTGGATTTGATTTTTTTGTTTTTTTTTGTTTTTTGTTTTGTTAGGTTTGGGGTACCCGCCTACGGGTATGGGATAGTACCTACCTAGGTTGTCGTTCATGTTTGAGACATGGAGCTCCCACAATTACCACACCATTCTAACAATAGCTACCTCGCTCTCTCCTTCAAACCCTTCCCATTCATTTCGTCCACTCTTGACCCTGTCTCCTCCATTTCCGGTCTCTTGCTTTTGCGGCTATCAACGCCTCTTCCATGCCTATATCCTCCCTCCACTTCCCATGCATCTCTCCTCCCACATCTTCTATATAAATCAAACCCCCCTATCTAATATTATCTCTCCCACTCTTTCCTCTTTTTTATATTTATATGCCTTGTAACCCAAGACAAAATAAATAAATAAATAAATAAAAGGAAAATGTTATTCCACATTCACTCAACCGATAATAATTTTTTAAAATTTTTATATACAGCGTTAAAGTTAGTTGCAGAATATTTTGTATAAAAAAATGACTTTTTACCACTGTGGGAGTACTTATCTGGTGAGAAATTTCATCATTAGTCTCTTTTCTTTTCCTTACTCCCTCCCTACTTCTCTTACCAGGCTACTTAGCCTCCACCCTTTACCTTTCTCTATCACTACTTTCCTCGCACTTCTTTCTTTAAAGTGAATTGTTAAAACCATTTATATATTGCACCTGTAACCAAAATACTTGGTGATTTGGTGGTTTATGGTCGTGTGGCTAATGGTTGGTGGAAGCTTGGGGAAAGATAGGTTCAAGAACCTGTGTGAGAGTTGGTTTATTTGGGATCTTCGGAGGGTTTTGGTCGCAATTGTTGGGTGGTTTGGCATGGCAATGCGGCGGGTGGGTTACCCGCATCCGACTTTTTTTTTTACTCTTTTCATCCTACACACTGTAAAAATTAGAAATTAAGTTTTTATTTTTGTTTTTATTAAATTTTACATATTAATTTAAAAAATAATTATATTTATAATAAATTAATTTTATTATGATTATGTGTTTTTTATATATAAATAAATATTTATAATTTGTAATTATTATTAATTAAATATATATTTTAATTTATTATATTTATATTAAAATAAGTATGAAAAAAATATTTAATTATTTTATATATATATAATATATATAATAATATTATTATTATTATATTACATTCAAATATTTATATATATAGATATAAAAGTTAATTAATTTTTAAGTTATTGTTTAAAAATATGAAATATATAATTTATAAAGAAATATTTAATAATTTAATTTTTATTTAATTAATTTGAAATAATAAAAGTTTAAATTATTAATTTTTAAAAAAATTTAAAATATAATTATTTTATTAAAATAAAATTTGATATATGATAAATAAGAATAATAAGATTTAAAAATATGATATAATAAAATTTAATAATAAATATAAATTATAAATAAAATAATATTAGTTATTATTAAGATTTATGTAAAATATTTAAAAAAATAAAATAAAAGAAAATAAATAATTTTATGTATTCATTAAAAAGATGAAAAAAAATTGATTAAAAGATTAACAAATTATAAAAAAACTAAAAAAATATATAAAAAATTAATTAATATAAAAAATTAAAAAAGATAAAAAATTAAAAATAAATATAAAGAATAAAATATTTTTAAAATATTAATATTTAAAATTTTATATTTAAATATAAGTCACACTTTTAAAACTGAAAAAACTTGAATTCATTTCGTGATTACACTGGCTTTTGGCGGCTATTTTATGCTTTTGTGTGGCCATGTATGTAAATGGAAAATTATATATCCATAATTCTTTCATAATCATTATTAGTGAGGGTACTGAGTGTTATTTTTAAATTAATTTTAATAATAATATCTTCAAATTTATGTTTATTTATATTTTATTATTATTATTATATTATTAAATAGTAATACTCGAATAAATTTAATTAAATAAAAAAAAATCAGTTGTTCATATAAAGGTAAATCATCAATGTAAATGGTCCCTTAAAGTATTGAGTCCTCATATCTGTATAATCCTATTTCTATCTTATAATTAATATATAATTTAATAATATAATATAATATAATAAATTTAAAATTTTAAAACCTATTTTTATCTTATAATTAATGTACAATTCAATTTAATAATATAATTTATTATTATTATTATTATATTAAAAAATATTATATGAATGTTTGAGCTAAAGAAGATGTCAGTAATTCAAACTCAAATTCAAATTAATTAAATAAGATGTAAATACAATTTATAAATTAATTAAAATTCAAAAATTGATCAGAGGATTTTAATTCTTTTAAATCAAAACAATAAATTTTACTTAAAAATAAGAAATTAAAAAAATATTTTTTTCACTCTAAATTTTTTTTTTATATTTCTTATATTATTCAATTTTGATTAAAATATTTTTAACACAATCTATTTTACCTTAACTTACATCAGTATGTTAGTTCTTTCCAAACTGAATTAACACGTTTAATCATCATCAAATTATCTTAGCTTAATCGTTCTCATCAAACTATTTTAACTAAATCTTGATCTGCTTCACGATACCTTTTTGAAAAAATATATTTAATTAAAAATTAAAAGAAATTATTCAATATGTACCATATCATTCCAGGTACAACAAAATTGGTGTGATAAACACCGACATTCAGTCAAACTAAATCCTAGAATAAAAAATCCGAAGTTGACCCATATCCCGAGCTACCAAACATTGCAACCTAAAAAAAGTAATCGAAGACTTGCATGCTGCATATCGAACTAAAAATGAGAAGCACTTGTTAGAAAAGTGAACAATTTAAAAATGTAGAGAAACATATGCACTTCGAAGAGAATATATAAATTCAATCAAATGAACAATGAGGAAAAGTACACATGTTTAAACCATTAAAAATACTTTCTCTCTTTTATATTTTATTTTTAAATATATATATATATATCTTTTATAAGATTTAAGATTTTATTAATTATATATTTTTTAATTATATTAATAAATTATTAAGAGTGATTTTAAATTATGAGATGATAAAAATATTAATAAAATTATTTAAAATAATGAAAATTAATATTTATCTTGATATTTAACCTAACCATATTTTAAAAGAGATAAAATATAAAATTGAATACCCACCTAAAATAATGTTTAGAATAAATATTTAAAGATAATAATAAATTATTTAAAAATATTATTATGTTTCTTTATATTTTCTTATTTGGATATAATTTTTATTTTATTTTTAATAATTTGGTAATAACGAAATTTACTCTTGTTTGTTTTTATATAAATTTTTTATTGAAACATTTAATGAAATACATCTTTATTTATTTTGTTGAGATTTTTTTAATAATTGATTTTGGACATTCTTTTTATCATGTTTTCTTATCATTTTGAATAAGATTAGTGAATTTTCTCTCTCATTAATTATTATCATGAGATTTGCTATGTGATTGTTTCGTGACTATTTTTTTTTATAAGCAAATAAAATCAATTAAGTTGAGTAAAGGGGTATTCAGAATCCAAAAATAGAGTACATTACAAAGCAGATAAAAGCCATAAAAAACACAAAATACATAAAAAAAAAAACATTAAACAAAACAGATCCAAGAATTATTGTGCAAGTCTACAAGACTAAAAGACATTCCTATACCAGTCGAAGAGATCCACTTCCAAGAATGTAGACAAATAGAATCAAGCAACTCTAACCGATCCACAACACCTTGTTTAAAGACTACACAGTTCCGATGCAACCAAATAGACCAAATGACCGCAACCCAAATAATAACAAAGTACTGAGATCGTTTTTTATTCCTCCATTGACCACACCAAACAAGAAAAGAGGACACCAAAGAAGAAGGCATAACAAAATTAACACCAAACTAGCCAAAAACATCCATCCACGTATTATATGCCACCGGACAAAAAACAAAAAGATGCACCGGATCTTCTATAGATAAACCGCACATAGGGTACAAAGCAGAATCCAACTGCACACCACACCCCTGCAGAAACAACCTGCAGGGAACAGAATTCAAGAAAACACCAAGCATTTAATAGGTATTTTACCTTTCCAAAGTCTGCACAACACCTCCTGGAGATTAACGTCAAGAGACGGAATATTAACTAGAAAAGTTAACAGTCAACCATAAGCAGACTTAATAGAATATACCCCTGAAGCATCAACCACCCAACACCAGTGATCCTCTAGGTGAGACCACAACACAAATCCATCCAGAATTTCCATCAAACTTGCTACCAATGGTAACTCAAATGAGAAGGGCAGACGGCGCCAAGGAATGTCCCAAACCCAATTATCTCTAGACCAATGACCATTATGCGCTACACCAGAAGAGGGATCGAGAGCAAAGGAATATAATCTGGGAAAAACCTCCTTAAGCCTTAAGCCACCCAGTCACCTATCCTCCCAAAATCTCGTCGAAGTACCATCCCCCACAGCCTGCAATCTCTTGTCATCCACCTATTGCCCTCCTAACTGTAAAGTAGACACAAGATCCCGCCACCAACTAGAAGTACGTCGATCCACCAAACACACAGTTAACAATGACGGGGTCAGGCCATACCGCGCCTGAAGAACCTGCGCCCAAAGAGCCCCTGGATATGATAAGCAACGCCAGATCCATTTGCCAAGTAAAGCGTAATTAAACAACTTCACATCCTTAATTCCAAGCCCACCAACTCCCTTCAGCCGACACACCAACTCCCACCGGACCCAAGGGATCTTAGACAAATCCTTAACCCCATTCCACAAAAAATTCCTATACATAGTGATAATATCCTTCACCACAGAGTTAGGGACTTTGAAAAAGGAGAGAAAGTGGATAGGAATAGAATTTAGCACCGAGTTAATAAGAGTGACACGACCACCAATTGAAACATACATG